TGACAGTTACATCATGATCATTTGCCATCACACTTTCTTGTGGAAGTATCGTGGTATTTTTGAGTCCTATAAAGCTCTCGAACCCACACGACACCAGTTTGCAGGGTCTAGATTAATAGTGTTTTTAAATATTTAACTTAAATACCCACATGTGTAAAAACTAGTAGGTAACAGAAATTTGAATACCCAGATAGAATTACTGATACCCAATGATTTTAAAATGCATGGGTAAAATACCCACAACACCAAAAGCTTATCTGGAGCTCTGTCATATACAACGCACAGTTATCTGCTGATTACCTCACAACAAAATCCTGAAGAAGATTTAAGATTGTGTAGCCGCAAATAGTCCTATTAACTCAAATACCATTACCAGCCCTTTGTGGAAATGGATATCGATTATTCATGGACTGTGTTACTGTTTCATGAACAGACACTTATAGATTTGCTTCTTTATTCACTGACATAACTCATTTCATAATGAGCTAGTATGAAACATACGGGTGATATTTGATGGTACGGGTAGTTGTTCTTGATTCGATATCATAGGGGGAAAAGGTTCCAAACGTAGTTACAACGCATTGGCCTCCTGTACCCTCACATACGGCATAGTCATTCTAACATTGTTCCATTGATTGACGGTGAAAGAACTCATGTTACCTCGTACCATCCATATGACGTTGGTCGTGAAGAGGTAGAATAGAGCTCTCTACACAGACGATACCGTGAGGCATATGTGTCAGTAGCGGAATGTAAAGGATTTTACGAGCTGAAAGCTTTGTACACCACGGAACTTTCAGGTCGTAAATTCCCGTGCCCCTCGCTACTGATACTGGAATGAATGTAACATTACAAGTTACAAAGATATATGTTTACCGAAATACATCATGAAAAATAGAATAATACAAAACTAAATTTCATCAAAACTTACATTTACCACCATACTTCAGTGGATGGTCGTCCAATACCACCGATGAACGTAAGATTGAAAGTGAATACCGGAATAGGCTCGATTACGTTTACGATTGAATACGACTTCGAGTAAAAAACAAATGAACTTGCCCCCGTTGGAAAATTAACATTACACGCGGTTGGAAACAAGCGAAGACCCTACAGTAGATCAAAATACCTTCAAAGATTCTGCAGTCACCACACAGTCACCTTACTCAAGTGATACATCGAAATAACAGAGCTGGAGTGTAACACTCTGTTCTGTATTTGCGTTCTGTTGTATATTATTGCTATTCTCTGCTGTTGCTATCTGTCTCGACCCTACATATACTGAACACGCGAATCCATAAATATCATCCTCTTGAAGATTGCTCCAACACATTGTGTAACCTTTAAGAACGATTCAATTTGGCTTTCTGTTATCTCAAGCACTACTCCGCTGGTTCACGATTACCGAGCTTCTGGTAGAACACCACGAGCGTGTCTGTAGCAGAATTCTTTAAATTTCCTAAGATGACATATTACCTAGTTATGCTTTCTTAATCGATGGCGAAAGCGTGTGTCGGTTAACTTCATTAGCAACTTTTATTTTTGCAAGAAGCGAACTATTTCACAGCCTTTTCCCTCTGAGCGTAATCGCGCATGAAAGTTTCACTGATCCATTCTAATTCTGGTTAATCTGTACTTGTTTTGCTTCACTGGGTACATGATGTGCTTAGCTGCCCCTAAGCAATGACGCAAATACAAAACCGACCACGTTCTTCTAGCCTTTACTTTCTAGGAATCTAAAATTTTCATTGATTAATTTACAGTAAACATTGTCTTTAAATATAATTTCTTGTTCGTTATCAGAAAGACATAGACGAGATAAAGCCTGAATTTTGCTTCTGGCACGGATACATGTAAAAGTAGACACAATTTATGAATATCTTCTTTAATATTTACATTATAGCAACGTTTCGGTACGGATCCTTTTACCGTTGTCAAGTACGAAACGTGGCTATAAAAGTATAATTATTAAATAAGTTGTTATCCATAAATTGTGTCTATTTTGTCATTCGCCAACTTCTAAGAAATGGCTATTAAACATCATACTAGTTTGAATTCAAATATTAACGTTTATGAATATCAACATTTAATACATATAAAACATGTTATATAACCCATGTGGCACATTCGATTTCATTCCAGTAGACTTAAGATGTTTTCAATATATTCCGCATGCCATCTCAGTGCTTTATCTAGTTGATAACATTCCACACACCAACAAAAATATCAGAAATTCGTGTTGTATTATTTCCCCCAAGATTAATCTATACTATATCTTCTAAAAATACCGCATTTGTACACGAAACGTTATACATATATATTAAAATCTAAAAATAATGCATTGTTATTCTTTGTCATTAGAGTCAGAAAAGGAAGAGCTTTTCAACAACCATCTACCAGCTTCAACCAATAACACGAGGTTCTGAGAAACCTAAAAGTGTCCTTTCCCTTTTCAGCTCAAACAACTTTAATAGAAACCTTCAGATGGTGGGCTTTCTTTGAGCACAACCGGATGAGTATCTTTTGACACCGACCGGATGCTATCCGCAATCTGAGAACCTCATCACCCAAGGATGTTTTAAGTCCGTGGACTGCTGTCGTTTTTCATTTCCACAATGAGCCTTAGTGCAGTTCTGAAACCATTTGTATCAGTTGTTGATCATCGGTTGTTGTTTTTACACATGCGCCTCGAGCACTGTGTTGTGTTTGTCCATTAGAAATCTAAATCAATGTCCTTACGTCGACCTTTTAGGACTTTGAAACAATTTAGATGCATCTAAAGTATTCTTGCTAAAAGCACCGCCTAGTGCAGCAATTTGGAGGAATTAATCAGCATTAAAATTACATTTTTCAGCATAACGGGATGCGAGAAGTTTCTCCGAAGTAATGTCCTATTTTAATGTGTACCACGGGTTCCCGTGTTGTGTTTTGCAATTGACTTGCCTTTAAAAGTGTTTGTGACGGATGCCATCGGTGGGGTGGGATACGTTTACATTTCTCGAACACCTAGTATCATTACGATTATATAGTAATTCATAAAATCATGGTTTAGTCGGAAATGTAGAAGGAACTGGTTTTAGTGGAGACTTCTTATGATTAAGGAAATAGTTATATCGCTAATATTTCACATACTACGATATGGCAGCTGAACCTGTACCATGAGTACTATCAGTGTGTACTTTCTCTGAGAAGAAGAGTTAGAAACCAGACTCTTGTAACATAAAACTAAGGTGTAAACACTATTGATACAGTATCAGTGAGTGAGTTGGGTTTAACGCTTCTTTTAACAGTATTCCAGTTATATCACGGCGTGTCGGCTTCATGTTGGGGGGGGGGGGGGGGGGAGCCGCAAGTGATGCAGGTCTCCGACGTTTACCACTTCGGTGAAACCAACGAGCACGGGTATGGAGCTGAAAAACCTTGAAACATAATCGGGGCGAACCGGGATTCGAACCCACAATCATAGGTTTCTGGCGTGCCCAAGGGACTTTCTCACTCTATCGCACAACGAATCGCGGCGCCTTAGCCGACTGGACCAACCGTGCCCCCGATACAGTGTCATAAAGGTCAACTTTCAGATAGAGCAGGACACCCATACATCTTTGGGATGCTTCGCAAGTCGCTAATACCTATATTCATAGGTCGATCCTTGACAGGATTAGGGGATTATGTCACATCAGCAGTATTCTATCATTAATACGGCGTGGGATCGCTATTCTATATCCTGTAACCGCCTTCGTGGGTTAGTGGATAGAGCGTCATCAGAATCAAGGTTATCCCTTCCCCAAAGAAAGCTGTTTTCCTTTTGTGGGTCATAACAATGTGAAGATAACCCTAACTGGAGTTTACGTACCGTAATGGGATAATCTGTTGAAGAGATTATTTCAAAGAGCTGAATATCATACATGATGACCTGTCAATGTATCCATATAGAAGTTACTCATGCATAAATGCTTAAAATCGCGCCCACCTATGTTCCAGCTACATGTATATGGCGGCAGTCTGTAAATAATCGAGTCGGGATCAGACAATCGATCCCGTTAGCTGCCTTTTAGGTCAAGCTGAAGACCAATTCTAATTCGGATCTTCACGGCCCTTGGATAACAGAGGAACATAATAGATTTAAATTTGACTGAGTAAGAAATAATTGTTCTTTATATACATGTTATTGGCTATACCCATTACACATTTAAGAAAAAGGTTCACCAACAGTATCCTTATTAGAACGGAAATTGTTTTTACTGTTCAGTATTATAGCAACCACCACGACATGACAAATCATGATATGTTGGACATGCTGTTGGACTTGCTGCCTCTATTATACCTCGAACCACCAAACCACGAACATACGACGTTTCTGATCGTGCGTTCGAATCCCGAATTTGCCACGATAAAAACCTTAGCTTGTCAGCACAAGTTCCCGGGTATCACCAAAGTGGCAAACGTCACTGACCTTTGTTGGTTGTTTTTTCCTACTGACATTAATCTGGCATGCCGTGAATCTTTTCAGGTGATCAGTTGACTTGCCTTTTCAAGCAAGTTTGTAACAGATGAAATCGGTAGGGCAGGATACGTTCACTGTTTCGCGAACACCTAATACCATCACTGTCTCATAGTGATTCATAAGCACATGCTTCCGAGAGAAAATAGGAATTGTATAATCCACTCTTATGGTTTCGTATGATTCTCAAAAGGGTTTTGTCGCTTTTGTAAACACTTTTTCGTCAAACAGAATCCGTTTCATGTATACATAAAATATCAACGCCACAGGACCTGCCAGAACATATCAGTCTAGATTAACTGTCGAATTCTCTGGCGTTGAGGTTTTATAAATACATGCAACTGAAGTGCTGATCACAGTGGCGTAAAACGTTGCTCACTCACGCACTCTCGCAAATATATCTGTATACAGTATTACGTGTTAGTAGATATGTAGAGAATACGCTGAAGCATAAAATACATGAAATAACGTTTTTCGCGTAATCATTGAGTGCACTTACCTCATAAGCATTTCTTATGTTGACAGTGTCTTTGGATTGGGCCACGTGACCTGCTATCCCCTTCCCAAAAGGCACCTTGATTTCATTGTCCGCTGTGTGAATGGACTCCTCCAACGTAGATGTATTAGTAACATCAAACAGCTTAGACACCAGGTACCGATTGTCTTTGGATCCACGAACAAGAAACAGACTTCCTCTATCACTGTTGGTAAGAATGTTGACGTTTTGCAGGATTTTATGACATAGCACGTTGACGTCCAACTCACTGGAAATGTCTCGAATCAGTTCCATAAATATATCCTCCTCAGACATGTGCTGTAGGGAGTTCCGGTCTTTCTTGATAGATGTCTTTCTCGCCCTTGACCCTTCAAGGTACTGTTTAAAGATGCTACCTGTGATTGAATTCTTGGCCACTTGGGTAAAATTTGGTAGGCTTGGTCGAACATTTTCATTGCTCTCCTCTGTGAGCTTGCTAGCCACTGCCTGAAGCTGTTCGGCTGTTCCATGTTCCGACAACCAGCGTGTGAGGAAATCTGGGTTGTTCTGGAGGTACGAGTTGACCACATCTTCGCCTAGATCACACATTGTGAAGGGTTAGCTCAGGCACCACACACAGTTAGAAGCGTTTGTTTATTGCCAGATGATGTACAAACCTCGAGATCTAAATCTCTGTAAATGTGACGTCCACATTCCAAGGGAGCCCCGAGGTCCAACAGGTCAAGACTCGGTTTCTGAAAGTAGGAAATCAAAGTAAGCCTTTAGGTGAGGGAACGCACAGGCAGCAAACATCATTATCCACAAATATTGAACGATGTGTGGACACAAGATTGGACGGATCACTATGACAACGTTAAGGCTTCGTTGATTCATTACTCCTTCACTTAAATGAATACTTACAACAGCTAAATAAAAACATACGGCCATTAAGTCATTATACACTCATGGTTACGTGGTACTAAAACAGTTATGCGTACGTGTAAGTGGTTATCGTATGTAGGCAAGTTGTGAAACAATCACACCAATTCACGGGGTGAACAATTGAAATAAAGACATGTGGTCTTAGCACCCCGACTTCAAAGGGTCGTCAGACCGCCTCCGTGGTCTAGTGGTAGAGCGTCCGCCCGGAGAGCGGAAGGTCCGGGGTTCGATCCCCGACCGCGTCATACCAAAAGACGTTAAAAGATGGAACTTGTTGTTACCCTGTCTGGCGCTCGGCATTAAGGGGATAAAACAAAGACTGGCCGCCTCGGAGTCAGTATACCGTGTCTGAGTGGGGTATTCATGTTAAACTGCGGCATGGTATCCTAGTGAGCTAGCACTATAAATCGGCATCAGTCCGGACTAGTACAAGCAGCCACACACACACATACATGTGCATGCACGTCGCTATATAAGTGCAATACTCTTGGACGCGACGTTAAACCCCATTTCACCTCACCTCAAAGGGTCGTCACACAAACCCACATACGATGCATCAAACCGAATCACAACTACCCACTCATACACATACAAAGAAAGGAATATTTAAGTGTAAGATGTTTAATATCGTAATAAATGTATGTTATGGGAGGACATTAAAAATATCAAAGATGAAATGGAATAGATGTACATTGCGCTCGATAAGAGACACCTTGGTAGGGGTATAGTTTAAATACATGACACCTTCTTATGATTAACAACTTCCTCTATTCGTTGTAACGACGTTGAAGAAAAATAATAATCTTTTGAAATCCAAAGACAGAGGCCGGATATTAACACAGACCAAGGCATCTACCTACCCAGTGTACTTCACTGTGCTTTAATAATATTATCAACCACAAATGGACATCTTGATTACCTTATTGTCAGTGTTACAATAGCCAGCTTCTTGTTATTGCATCCAGCCCAATCACTTCACCTTCAGTGTACTTAATTGGCGTGTCTCTCGTTACTCTTATTGGCTTAGTTATTATAATGTTATCTTTGAACATTATTCCTACTTTATGTAAACATATCACCATGCACACATAGAATGTCTATTGACTCTATACGCTTACTCCGTATTCACCTGAGGAAGGGACAAGACGGAGCTCTGAAAATACGTCGTAAGATAGAAAGAAGTTGTTATCCATAAAAAGTTGTTATCCATAACAAAATGACATGTATTCACGTTTTTACAACTTCTAAATGCCTATCAGAAACTTCGTTTATATGTTCCACGTTAAAACACATGTGAACGTATATCAGTGTAACGAACATGTATACTCGCACACAGTTTAATACATGCTGCAAGCAAGCTGGAGCTCTGAATCAAACTGATAAACACTGTGTCTAAATCCAGTAGTTTTTGCACAAATGATACTTTCATGTTTTCCTGAAATGGAAGCCTATCTGTTATTTCAAAGACCAACCTAAGACTGCTGTGTCAAAGGAAACATACCGAAAGTTATCTTATTACAGGTAATGGATCCAATAATGTGCCTTCACGACTACCGACTAGTGATGAAAAATTAACGACACATATCTCACAATGGTCGTAAAAGGCTAACGCCAGACTTCCGAGAACACAAAAAAACGTGATACGTTACCTTAAGACAGAAATACATTATCTGGAAAACGTAAATGACAATATAATTACACGTGAATGAAATGAGCAGTCGTTGCCTAGTGTGTTGTACGGAATTAACCATAATACTGTATTAATCAAATCACATTCGATATCCCAGTATAGTGCCTAGGCCCGAATTAGGGTGAGACGCGTCTTCATCAGTTCTAATTTCATTCATCAAACATTATTCCCCTGATGTAGCGCCGTAATACTGATGAATGTGATCCTACGGTGAGATTTAATGTAAATCTTTCTTACATCTCTCGAAAGCTAGATGTTATTTACATTCAGACATTATGTATGGCAGTTGCCGTGACATTACGCGTCGTGCGGAGGAAAAAAATAGAGGCATGTTTTTTTTAAGATGTATGGATAAGTAGATATATATGTAAGGTTTAATTCAAAGGGTTTACATGCTAATGTCAATGGTGGTGTAAGTGAAAGTGAACGTAATGTGAAAGTATTCAGAATTTGTATGTTTGTAATCAGAAGAATAAGTACAATATGAAAGAACAAATGGAGCAATATTTTAGACAAAAAAGGTCCGTATTTGAACAGTATTTCAGTTACTAGTATATCACGGCGTGTCCGAATTTGGAAGGATAGCCATAAGGGAAGCGACGTGGATCTTCGATGTTTATCTCTTCAAACCCTCCAGCACAGGCATGGAATAAATATGTATTTAAGCTCTGATCAGCGAATGCACTATGGCGACCAGAGTAGACGCTCCAAGAGGGTAATATACAATTCATAGACATACAAGATATAAAACGGGATGTGCTTTCAAAATGAAAATGCGAAACTAGTCATTCACATGATATTGCCTCTATCCTTCCATTTACGATTTTCTCTGATCTCCAGTGGGTGATTTATGTGAAATACAAGAATAAAGGATACAACTTTGAATACATCATTGTAAACTAATGGGGCTTAAGGATCCTCGAAACGTGACCCGGTGGCAAAACATTGGGTTGGTCATACATTCTTTATGACTATGTGGAAATGAATACAGAGCTAATAAAACAAATCAAAGATCGTGTACATTACGAACCTTAGTAAGACGACACGAATGTGCAAATGCCATTCGATAAAGTCAGCTTTAGCCAGTGTGCAATTACCATACATACTACCTCGTGTCGACATGGGAAACACAACGCGTTTGATATATTCAATGCTCCATGTCATTTCTTGCGACCTTACATATCCCAAAGGTGCATTACTCTCGGTAGGTCTTGCAGTAAATGCATCACTCAATACGGTTCATTAACACACCAAAACTACGTCATTCTGTACTACTTCAAAGTCGACAGCACGTCAGAACCGTCTGGATCAGCAATGGCTGAGGGAACGTGATATACAGCGTGTGCAGAACTTCATACAGCGTGTGTAATATACTTAGCTGTAGGTTCCAGAAGGTAGTATGCCAGAAATTAGGGACCACTCGTCTCCTTCTAAGAGGAGAGCAATAGTGATACCATCACGATATGAAAAAGGTAGTCGCCATAGACGGGTATTCTATTTCAGGTGTAGTTCTCCTCTCGGTGTCCCTTAGCTGCCAAGATGCATTGGGTGCGAGTTTGAATCCTAGATTCCCACCGATTGTGATCCGTAGTCTGTCAGCACTTCAGAGTATTGAAAATATGATAGGTGTCTGATATAAAACGTCAACGCCAGAGAATAACCATATCTCGATTATCCACTGAAACAGATTCCGACCAGTGAAGATCCGGTGAAGAATAGGTCTTCAACAACGCATGCTTGGGTGACTATGCATGTCGTATGAGGCGACTAATGGGATCGGGTGGTCAGGCTCGCTGACTTGGTTGATGCATGTCATCGTATCTCAAATGCGTGGATCGATGCTCATGATGTCAATCACTGGATTGTCTGGTCCAGATTCAATTATATACAGACCGCCGTCATATAGTTATTATGAGACTATTGCTGAGTGCGGCGTTAAACAACAACAAACGAAACAGATTCCATTGGATATAAAAGGCAAAATAGCGGTGAAAAATATATGACTGGATCACTGAAAATCAGTGATGATGCCAGGTGTCCTGCCCTACGTGTGACACCACGATGGTGTTTTCTCCCATATTATGCTCACACATCGTGATCTAATGGAAATACTTTTCCAATGGCCAAACACCATTTACTATCGACACAAAACATGTTTCAGGCTACAAAGGCTTAAGGCATTTAATCAAGAACAACCATCACCTGCAGCTTAAGAAAACTAAATATCACATTCTCATCCACCACTGTTACACCTATGTCTTTCCAAGTATGCAAGCGTAAGAAAGAAGTAATTACAAACAAAATGTCTTCATATGACGTCAGCACGGCAGCAACAACATTGATGTATGTTGTGGGCTACAGCGATAACCAGCTTCAAAGTAGCACGACACACAGCCCTTGCTCGACCTTCCTGTACTACAGTGAGGAAGCTAATTGATGACCTGGTATGGATCAGTTTCAACGTGTGGTGCCTTCCTGGCCATAACACTGTTAGCAGTTCACATTAAGATGCTTCATTCTGGTGTCTTGCCGTAAATCAACATACAAACACTGCAGTCCACACGTCTCTACCATGAATTATAATCAGATCGAAATTAGGAGTCGAATTCTGGTTCGCCTAAGGGACGCAACTCCGCATGGCGATTTGCTGTTTGTATTGTTAACGTTGCAACAATGTTACATGAAACTGAACGTATGCCGAATATAAGCTATGGTGCTCGATATAGAACTTCTGATTATTTGCATGTAAGACACTACGCCAGTGCTCTTGGATTTTACGAAAGTAAACGTATTTATTGGATTTTTCCCACATTAAGACGACATGCTGTGATAATAAATATAAGCGACATTATCACAAGAAATCTCCACTAAAAGCATTGTCCATTGTACGATTTCGTCTACATCATAATCATGTGTTTCTTATTTAATGTAAGATAGTGAGTATACCAGGTGTTTCGCGAAATGGTAACTAAGTTCATCCTGTCACACCGGACGCACGTGTCACAAACACATGCAAAGGCAAGTCAAGTGTCCATCTCAACAATCACAAGAACATATGGTACAAGTCCAAATAGGGAAATGAATCCGCCATAATTTTGGTCACTGACGCGTCACATTTGGACA